TTTTTTAAGGACCAGTAGGATTGAATATGTAAGCCTTAAAGAAACTCAGCAGATTTTAAGGGATTTCAGTGTAACTATTTCATGGAAATTTATGACCTGCAATGCATTTTCTACAACAATTAAGAGTGCCAGGCATGGTGGCACATGCCTATAGTCCCAGCACAGGGAGGCCGAGGCAGGAGGATCACTGTGAGTTTGGGGCCCGCCCGGACTGCATAGTGAGACTCTGTCTCAAAAACAAAGAAGAGCTACTACTATTTACCCGTGAAGCAGAAGCTGGGTCTCCAGTTCACTAAGGGCTGGGTGGCACGAGTTCCCCGCCTCCCCGCTCCGTCAGACAGCCAGAGAGCTCCAGGCCTCCCCGTAGGACTGGGAGTGCCCGCCTCCCTCATTCCAGGCCAAGTGCCAGCTCCGATGAGGGCGGCCGAGGGTGGCTGAGGTCCCTGCTCCTATCTTGCAGACTTCCCGCTGCCCGTGGCGTCCACAGGGTCGCTCCTGGAGGACACAAAGGTGAGCCCAGGTCCTGTCAACTCTGCCTTCTCCAGGAACAGGTGGGGACACCCATGGGAACTGCAGGACGCTGCGACTGCCCCCAGCCTCCTCCCCCCAGTGCTCACACGGCTCTCCTGGGAGGGACAGGCGTCATCTTTAGCACCAGAAGGATGGGCATCAGGGCTCAGCTCCAGCTTGGTGGGTGGGCAGGGGACACCACCCTTCTGCAGTGACATCCTAGCAGGATGCGCCCCCACCCCTGTCCTGTCCCTTCCCTCCCCTTCCCAGTCCTGCTGCAGTCAATGATCAGTCGCCTCAGAGGAGCTGCTGCTCTCACTCTGTGCCCCAGCAGTGGCACTGTGGCCCCCAGGCAGAGGCCCTGTGGGACCCTGGGGCGTGCAAATTGTGCGCCAGGCCTCACTGATGTGGCTGCCCTCGTGATCAGCACCAGGACAAACCCTCTAGACCCAGATTGGGGTCCAACCTCAGGGTCGGGGTCTGACTCTGTCCCTTCCCCACCTCCCAGTGGCCGTGGCCCAGGGCCTCAGAGGAGGCCCTAAGCAGGCTCCCCGTCCTCCCACAGGCCCAGTGCGCCCAGAATATCAAGAGGTGCTGGTTCCTCTCCTTCCTCAAGCCCAGTGAGCCCATCTGTGCCAGTGACCAGGGCACCTACAGTGGAGAGTGCCACCTCTGCTCCAGAGTGCTGTGAGTGCCCTCCTTTCCCCTGCTTCTCTCCAGCAAGAGGCGGGCCGTGGCCCTGGGAGAGGTGACTGCCTCAGCCCACTTCCTGTGTTGCCAGTTGGACCTCCCCTGCCTGTGCTGTTGCCCCCACCCCACCCTGGGTCCCCTGAGGGACCTGTGATCCTCTTCAGATAGTACAGAAAAAGAAGGTCACAGAGGTGACCGTACCACACAGGCCGGGACACAAGCAAGTAAGCAAAGGGCACCCTGGAGCCAGGAGCAGCAGAACACAGGTTACTCAACCATAGATGAGTCCCCTTGGGCCACACAGGACAAGGGTCAAAAGCTAGACCAGAAGAAGGAGGATGAGGCTAGCTTGGAATGGACGTCAGTCTCCACAACACTCTTGGCCAGGTGTGCCGGTACACATCTATAATCCCAGCACTCAAGAGGCCGAGGCAGGAGGATCTCTGAATTCAAGGGCAGTGAGTTTGAGGCCAGCCTAGATTGCACATCAAAAAACAAAACTTATTTTTATCATGTGTTCTAAGTTCTTTTCTTAGCAATTTCCCTAAGAATTATAGTAATTTTAGTTGGTATAAGTTTACACTAACTTAGAGCCAGTGAGATAGCTCAGCAGACTAAGCGCCTGCCCAGGCAGGAACAGGGACATAGGTTCTTTTTTTTTTTTTTTTTTTTTT